TTAACCCTTCTTCATTTTTACAAAAAAAGAAAAGAAAATGTATTTTTGTATCATTTTAACAAATGAGGATGTCCCCAAAAGGAGTATTTATCAGATTTACTGAGTAAAGTGGCTCGCTTCTGAGTACAAATCAGACCCCATAATATGGTACACAAACACACACACACACACAAACAAAAAATATAATATATTGTTTCTACATTAGTAATGTTATTATTAGTGATAGTTTGTTGAAAAATAATAATAAAATAAAATTTCTGATACATCAAGAGTTGGGTAATGCATTATGTATTCTTCTAATTACTTTTCCTGATAACGCAGTAATGTAATGTGTTACACTTTAAATTTATGTAATTTGATTACAGTTCCTAATGTCAATAAAATTACATTACTTAAGTTACTAATGCAATGTTAAAACATATTTAAAAAAAGCAAAAATCATGTTTTGCTCGTCAGTATGCCCTTTAATAAATCATCGGAGAATGCGAGCTTTTAGATGCAATAAAAGGTTTCCTGTCATATTTCAAAATGTTGCACTCGATTTCACATATTTTAGTCTGGCATTATAGCTTGGGAAAAGTTCAGCTAGTAAATGTGTACAAGCTTATGTCACAATAACACTAATATAAGTAAAAATAAATGACTCATCAGAATGAGATCCTCCGCTGGATTAAGCCGCACGTCACATCGATGAGGTAAATTCAAGGCTTATTCCTCACAGCGTGTCTTGTTCCAAAAACGAAAAGTAGCCTAGATGAACTTGATGAATCTTAATGCTTAGTTTACAGAGGTGATGTGGGCGTTTGCATGTTCGCGCGTCTCAAGCCTGGTTTCATGTGGATGTTTATCATATTGCGCACGATGCGTGAGGGTGTAACCACATTACAGATAATGAACTCAGACGGGAAAGACTGTACCTCAACTGGTTTCAAACTAATTACTTTATCAGAGAATTTTTGTTTTCGACATGGCTGACTTATGTCTTACTAAAAAGACACTTCAAGCTTTCTTTAGATATATTTCTCATGTCTGTGTGTCAAGTATTTGCAAATTTTTCATTCATTTTAGTGACGCAATTCAGGAAGATATTCGAGACTGAGACTACAGAAACCCCACCCTGTTTGTTTTCTTTATTTTACAAAAGCACAAAATTTTGTTGGTATTGCGAGTGTATACAAATAAAAGACATTTTAAAGTCACAAATGAAGTATTACCCTTATCTGTATGATCAAAAATTACGAAGTTCTTTTCACCGTTATCAGAAAAAAATGCAAGTGATCATTCAAGTTGCTGTTTTGATACTTAGGCTATGTAATTTTTCAGTCAATATGAAAGGACTATGAATTTCACTTTGTAGTGTATTTTTTAGGTTTGATAACTTGAAAAGTAAAGTAAACTTGAAAGTAGCTTAAAAGTAAAGTAATTAGTAATCTGATTATTTTTTAAATGCAGTAATCAGTAATGTAAACATATTACAATTTTAAAGAAGTAATTAGTAATTTGTAGTCGATTACTTTTTTTTTAGTAACTTACCAAACATTGGACATCATTAATCACCCTCATGTCATTTGAAACCCATACTTTTTTCCTTCTTCTATGGAGCACATTGAATAATATTTAGCAATTGGTTTAGAGGTCCTCAGATACAGAGAAATTACTATTTATTTAATAATTATCTGATAATGTATTTTAAAGCCTACAATCAACATATTGGCCAATGTAAATTTTGTAAGGGTGTTTACATGAACTCACACATTGGTGTAAAATTTTCCATACTGTGTATGCACACTAACTGGTCCTTTCATGCCTCGTTGAAAAAAAAAGCTGCTACAACATTCTGCTAAACTTCTCTTTTTGTGTTCCTCAGAAAATAAAGCCATGCATATTTCAGGGTCAGTATATTCATATTTCTAAGAGATGATGACGACTAAAAGTCACAGAGACAGACATGTTCTTACATCATACAGCCATTCATCCCGCAGGAAGTGACAGATTAGGACTAAACAGACCTCGATCTGACCCGGACACAAGAGTGTGAGGTCTCTTGCCCTGGAGTCTTGTGCAATGGCACTTCTGAATGAATCTGCCTCACACTGTCTGCATGACTTGATATCAGAAATTGTTCTTTCTGTCTCACACAATCACACGCACACAACAGAGCGCTCAGTCACGAGAAAGTGGGTAAAGTCACTGATGAATTCTCTTGGCAGACAGCTCAGTGCCCTGTAGTGTCTGTCCTCCAGCATCATTGCTTATGCCTGGCCCATAAAGCTATCCCACAAGCCACCTGGGAGCGCCCAAATCAATCTGCAATGGAGTCACGTCAGCAGGAAAATAATTGTGCTCCAAATATAGCACTTTCCCTAAACCTTGTCTCCTGATTCTCCTGACACACACATCAAACAGACAGCAGCTCTAACAAGAGCAGAAATGCAAGAGTGTGAGATAGCAGGGCAAATAATGAATGCTTGCCAGGGTGTCTTTATTCGTTTGAGTAATTATATATATATATATGAATGCTCATGAGGTTTACCAAACCTGAGGTGCCACACACAGAAACACCTGAGAAGAAAAACCATGGCGACGTATTTTAGTCTCAATGCTGCCCTCCACTGGCAAACAACGACAACAACTACCAACTTAATGCATGTAGTGTAATCTGATGGAAAACATTTAGCAAACACATCAAACTTGTGTGCTCTAAAGTTGAAATATTGAAAATCAGACCTGTTTATTTTCAGACAGACAAAACAAAAATCTAATTTGTGGCTACACTTATAATATAAAGTATTATAAGTATCCAATCACAAATGTATTTGGGTCTTATTGGTGCATTTGCTGTGGGCCCATCAAGCTATTGCAACTCACTAATTGCAACTCTGCTGTCAAATCACATCTTTTTAGCAGACAAATTAAAGGAAGAATGATTGATTGATTACAAACCAGCTGTTGCTGTGTTGCCAAGCACAACCAGACAGATTTCCCTCTCCTCATGGCAACAAGACTTAGCAGCTGCAGCTTAAATCACTAGTGCTGGAAGCAAAACTAATGTATTTCATCTCTCATCATGCAGCAATTTAGGATTTCCATATGTACATATGTTATATGTAAAGCATATCGCAGATGCTAAGACATTAAGTACAAGTGTTCAACCAAAAATGAAAATTCTGTCATCATTTGCTCACCTTCCAAATATGAGTTTCTTTCCTCTATTCAACACACAAGAAGATATTTTGAAGAAAATTGGTAACCAAAGGGTTGACGGTAGCCACTGACTTCCATAGTGTTATTTTTTTCTCCATAATATGGAAGTCAATGGCTACCGTCAACTGTTTGGTTACCCACATTCTTCACATTTTTTTCTTTTGTGCTCAACTGAAGAAAAAAATGAGGGTTAGTAAATGATGACAGAATTTTCATTTTTGGATAAACTAACCCTTTTGAGAGATTTCAAATCATTTAATACTGTATAATATGTGTGCTAATTTACAAGCTTTGCAGACACTTCTACATATCTAAAGCAAATTATGCAAATCATGAGTGATGAGAATCAACTTCAGAAAAAGCTACAAATTTGCGGTGAATTTTTACTCCTGAAACATCTTTCTACCAAAGCAACATGCAGTCACATAAATCAGAACAGCCACAATCATAATATGCAGATAAAATAAATAAACACTTAATTCATGATTTACTGACTAAAAAGAGAGAAAAAAACTCTTTGAATTAAATGCCAGTGTTGGAGATTTCTGCACTAAAAGAGACACCAAACTGGCCGTATTCTTATGTTGACTTGTCTAAGAAATGTGCATGTCCCACAATCCATACTCAAAACCATAATCAGCAATGCAGTGACTGGATGGCAACATATTTATATTACAATACAAAGAATAAGTCATCATACTCTAAATTTTTGATATAGAGAGATGCCACAAGAATGAGCACAATTCCTCTCAATTAATATTAGAAAGTTCACATTTCATTACACCAAATACACAAAATAATGTTCTTTTTAGCAGCATCATATGACCCCTTTAAGTAACACTGCCCAAGCAACCAAAGCAAAATAAGTGTTTTTATATAAGGCCTATGCAGACTGTCAGCATTGTTGTTAATGAAACAACAACCCGACTTTTTAGTTTGTTTCAGGGGCACCTGACACGACCAAATAACACAAAATGCTTATATAGCATAAGTAACACTGACTACCGTTCAAGAGTTTGGGGTCATTAAGATTTAAAATGTTACAAAAGATTTTTATTTAAAATAAATGCTGTTCTTTTGAACTTTCTTCGTGGACTTTAGGGACTCTTTCTCAAAGATCACCGTTTCCATGAAAATATTTAGCATTATTAAAATATTTTCAACACTGATAATAGCAAATGTTTCTTGAGCGCAAAATTAGCATACAGTATTAGAATGGTTTCTGAACAACCATCACAAGAATACATTTTATATTAAAATATATTAAAATAGAAAACAATTATTTTCAAATGTAATAACACAAATAAATGCTGCTTTGGTGAGCATAAAAGACTTCTAAAACTTCAAAAAAAAAAAATTTTTAATCTTACCAACCCCAAACTTTTGAACGGAAGCGTATTATGTAGCCTACATTTATATAATATGTGACCCTGGACAATAAATCTCAATTTCGAAAAATTGACACTTAAGACTGGTTTTGTGGTCCAGGGTCACATATAAAAGCGTATATAATCTACACACTAAGGTTTGCTAAATTAGTTGGTGTTTCCAAACAGGTTTACCAAACATTTTTTTCAACAATTGTTAAACCTCAAACTATATAATAAAGGAATCACAGAAGAACCATAGTGTTTACACTCTTCAAGACAAAAAACGTACAAAGTCCCTGCATTTTAAACTGAGATGGAAGAAAGTTCCTTAACATCAAACATTTTTCCACACATCTTTTATAAGATATCAGATTTCTGAAATGAAAGTTGAGGAGCAGTGAAGAGAGCTGATTGACACGGACTCACCACTCAGAGTCCACAGGTGTGATGTCAATGCGAGGGGGTGTAATGAAGGGCAGTGTAGTTGGTCTTGCCATGATCTCGTCATCTGGACTGCGGGACCTCTCCGTCTGCCGCCATGATAAAGGAGGCAACTGCAGGTTACCGGAGAAACGACGCCGCCTCCGCCGCAGGTCTACCCCCAGCGTGCAACCCGAAGATGTGAAAGATTCACTTAGTCTGCAGTCTGGAGGCTCTTTACTGTCCTGGAGTTTAAAAAAAAGAGAGAGGTAGCTATGCAATGCCATGTCAGCAGATGAGGTTATTTTGATGACAAGAGTTGTACTGTACATGTTCGGCCAGTTACATAGGAGTTGTATATTTACAATAAAATAAAAGCAAGTAAGAAAGAGAGAGAAATGAGAGGGCAACAAGGAAAATCGCTTTCAGTGGATAAAGATTTGAGTGAATGAGACAAATTAAGACATTGTAATGTATTTCATACCACTAGAGGGCGCCAAAGCATTTCACTCAACATCAACTTCTCAACTCAACTTCTACGTTTCTTGAAAATACATAAAAGGGCATTTAACAGAAGACTGTTGTACAGACAAAAGCTCTAGATGTGGTAAAGTCTAAATAAAACAGAAAATAGCTGTAATTAATATTTTAAATATTTGGATTAGACGTATCAGGTAAATCTGTACAGTCTATACGAGTGCTGTTACAAAATTAAAACAAGCACAAAAACGTGATATCGTACACTTATGTTTTTTGTATGTGATATATTTTTAGATGAATATTAAAGTACTGATTAGCAAAGTACTACCACCTAAAAACAAACATATTACCAAGATACTTCCATTGTACATTTTGTAAGGAAAGGGAAAGACAAAAAACTCCACCACAGAGCTGAGATATGAGAAACACTGCATTGATTGATATGCTGTAGTCGCTCTAATAAATTTTCCATTACCGCTGTGTTCCGGCGTGCACGCTGTTCATTTGTGTGTACTGCAAAACCATGACAAGCCAAGAATTCTTTCAATTTAGTCATCCTCACGAGGTGCGCACAAAACAAACATACACACAACAAAACCAGTAGTCAGATTCACCAACAAAATGACTCATATGCACTGGTTCTAGTTCAGTTTGAATAGTGTCATGAGTCTTTCTCTGAGGTTATGCGAATAAAATATTTTCTCTTCCTTTATCACATACATACATGTAAACAGCAAAATTCTAAGACACCACACGCTCTCAAACATAAAGTGATACCTTTCATAAGGTAATATGTACCTTTAAGGTACTAATATGTATAATTTAGGGTTAAATAGGGTAAAAAGATGTACCTTTTAGTTTCTGTACCTTACAGTACCACCCCAATGACAGCTTTGTATTTTTTAAGTACTTTTTTGATTATTTTTGTTTTCTGCACTATTTCATTTGATATTTTATTGTATTTTATAAATATTAAAAGCATTTCATCTTACCAGCAAACAGACACATGCACATAATAATGTTATATAATTTTTCATAATTTTTTTCATATAATCATTTTAATCATAATTTTAATTCATATAATTTTTTCCACATTTCATTATACCAAATACACAAAATAATGTTATTTTTAGCAACATCATATGACCCCTTTAAAATTGCAGTACTAAAATAAAATAAAATGTATTCATGTATTTACATACAGTGTCTGTATGCATTTATAAATGTATTTTCCTAATTTCAAATTTATTTATATACAACATCCAATATTTAAGTTCTAGCTTTGTGCATGTAAAACCATTCACACTATGCTGTGTGCTGTGCTGTTCCAACACAGTAGTAGTGAGCATGATGGGAAGATATGCGGGCAGCTGAAGATGTTTGATAGCAGACCAACACTGGCTGGAAAGCAAAAGAACTCACCAGCAACTGATATCATCAGTACACAGCTGAGAAAAGAAGAAGAGTGTTTCTGCATCATCTGTCAGGAACCACAAGAAAAAAACTCTCAGAAGTGAACAGAGCTCCATGTTATGAATAGGAACACTGTTGACAGGAGCTGCCAAAAAGCTCATCTAAACAGACAAAGCTGAAAAGCTCTGGATGCTAAGACAAGAAAACACTCCTACACCCCTCTTTACTAGAACCAATTCAAGGAGAGCGATTCATCTGAAAACAGAGCAGGTGGAGGCTAAATGATGCCCTAACCCAGTGGTTCTCAACCTTTTTTTCCACCAGGCCGCAATCAGCCAGACCAGGGATGACCAAGGTGACCTCCTGAGATTCCCTGTGTCTGGAACACTCTGCGGTCAGCTCACAGCCAACGCCTGCAGTCACCCGAGACCACATTCTTTTTTTAATTCATTAGACTAATGCAGCAGCTCTCCGAGCTATAAAACAGCCCTGTGCTCTACGGACAACCTTTTCTCCTTCAAACTAAAATTACCCAAAGCACAGACACTCAAGCAAAATACCTTTGACTATATGATGCTTGACTCTCTTTGAAAGAAAAAAACTGTGTTTCATCAAACACAGAACATTTATGGACCAAACAGCATATGATGTGATTGCCAAAATATTAACATTTCAGTAGTCCAGCAGTTCTCATTTCTAGTCCCGGTGAACCCATCACTCTGCACATTTTGTATGTCTCTTTTATCTGACACATTTAGTTCAGTTCATGGAGTTCAATAAAATTCTACAAAATTAACCACTGCTGTAGTCGATAACAATAAAAGTGTAGTTTAACAACATTCAACACCAGAACAAAAAACTAATAATATTGAACACTCTCCTATGTAATAAATAAAAATAAATAAAAATAACATTATTATTTAATAACCTCAAATGGTTTGAATGTGTTTTTATCTTTGATCATTATGTTGTACAGCACTTTTTTTTTCAGTCTTGTGACTGTTTTAAATGTGCTTTATAAATAAACGAACTAGAACTAGAAATATTGCTGTCAAACGATTAATCGCATACAAAATAAAAGTTTTTGTTTGCATAATATACGTATGTGTGTGTTCTGTGTATATTTATACACATAATACACATATTTATTATGTATACATAAATACACACACAGTATATATTTTGAAAATATTTACATGTATTTACATGTCTATATTCATATAATTTATATTATAAATTTATTTATAATAATAATAATTATTATTATTATTATTATTATTATTATTGCTTTTAATTTTAATACTGACAACTATTATTTATATTGTTGGTTAGTACTAAAATGTGTTATTTAACGTTATAATAATAATAAATATAAAAATTGTTGAATATATAAAAAATAAATAAAGTTGTTATTATTATTACTAGATAGCCTGTCAGGTTTTGAATCAAAGTGTGTTAGGAACCTTGGTGTTCTCTTAGACAGTCGGCTCACTCTAGAGAAGCATGTCTCCTCGGTTGTTGCTTCTAGCTTTTTTCAGCTCCGCTTACTTTCTAAAATCAAACATTTACTTATCGGAATTGCTGCATCCTTACAACCCTACCAGAGATTTAAGATCTGGTAATCAAAACCTACTTATGGTTCCTTCCACTAGGCTGAAATGCAGAGGAGATAGAGCTTTTTCGGTGATGGGCCCTAGATTATGGAACAGCCTGCCAGCGCACCTCAGAGCTGCTCCAGCTCCATTTGTTTGAATGTGTTTTTATCTTTGATCATTATGTTGTACAGCACTTTTTTTTTCAGTCTTGTGACTGTTTTAAATGTGCTTTATAAATAAACGAACTAGAACTAGAAATATTGCTGTCAAACGATTAATCGCATACAAAATAAAAGTTTTTGTTTGCATAATATATGTGTGTGTTCTGTGTATATTTATTATGTATACATAAATACACATATTTATTATGTATACATAAATACACACACAGTATATATTTTGAAAATATTTACATGTATTTACATGTCTATATTCATATAATTTATATTATAAATAAATATATGCAATAAATAAATATAACCTATTGTTCTGAAATATATACATGCATGTGTGTGTATTTATATATTCATAATAAATATACACAGCACACATACATATATTGTGTAAACAAAAACTTTTATTTTGGATGCGATTTATCGTTTGACAGCACTAATTATTATTATTATTATTATTATTATTATTGTTATAATTATTATAAAATTCAGTTTTCAAGTATATCCCATTAGGTAAACAGTAATACTTAATATTGAGTAATGCTAATTAATGTTAATTATTATTAATATTGTCGGTTAATTCTAGTAATATATACATTGCTATTTGCTACCCATATACCACTCCTCGGCTACAGAACTGAGTCGGTACTGCACTGAATGAAGACTGCCATCGTTACTTTTTTTTTATCAACTTTTGAAATTCCTAGCATAAATCTACAGAAAAATTATTCTATAGGCCTATACAAAACCCAAGTGAAAAGAAGACATGCTTTCACAACTAATTACATGTAATCCTATAACAAATCCTGTATAATGAGGAAGTAGCTTAACTATGTTTAGTACCTTTCTGAATGACTATTAGTCCCATTATCCCAAAGCAGATAAAGAGGATAATTAAAGGTGACTGGAGAGACAGAAGAGACACATCACACTATGGATGTGAGTTCAAGGGTTCACCTCATAAACCAAGAGTTCAATTAATTGGACAGACCCAACGGAGACTATGCAGGCAGAATTCTAAATAATGCCTGTAACAGAATAAGAATTGTATCCACTAATAACTGACAGTCAAAATATCCATTACATTCCATATGCACTTATAATAGTGACAAAAAAAACCTTCCATCACAAAGTTTTAAGCTTTCAAGGGCTTAGTCAAAGACATGGCTTAGCAATCCAAACTAAGTTGACCAAGCCAAATTATTGAAACACAAACCGAGAAATACCTCAAATATTGGACAGAAGCAACACCACAACACAGTGCATTGGAAAGCTATTTATCCCTAAACAAAGAGTGCAAACTGGTGGAATATTTGAGCAGAGTGACTAGGAAAAGTATCCAAAGATACATGCAGACAGGGACAGGCATGAAAGATGACAGACTGTGTCCCCACTGCATGAAGTGGAAACAGAAGTGCACATTTTGACCTCATGTTTGAACTACACAGACCAGGGACACTTCATTTCATAGCCCACCCCAAAGACTTCTGAAAGCACACAAGGACAAACTCTCAGGCCTGCAAGGTGAAACTCTAGAAAGCTAAATGCTATCTGCAAGCTATGAGAAGCCCTGACATCACAAAAAGGCAGGAACCAGCAGGAAATACCAACCATAAAATGACATCAGGTATAAAATGTCTTGTTTGTTTAAAAGTCAAGCATACACCGCTCTGTATAGCCAAATCATTTGCGAAAATAAGTTTGGAACACCACTCTGACAATCAAATTCAAGGGCCAGAAGTAACTGTCATAAATAAATATTAATAATGAGTAATAGATGGGGACCCTTCTGCTGCAAAACAGAATTCTGTGCAAAATACTGCCATACATAATATTAGCAATACTTTGCCAATATAAGCTTCTTTTTACCATTCCAATAAAACTACTTGAATCTTATTCTGATAGTGAGAGAGAAAAAGAATCCTGCTGCTGCTTGACATTTATGTCACTGCTTCTGTGGCTTTATCAGATGAGCCCAACACGATTGCACAAACAGAACATGTATTTTATCACATATCCTGCTGCTAACAAGAGGGTTTGTCAAACATCAATATGTGACAAGCAGGGAGCAAACGAAGAAGCAAGAGGCAAAGAAAGGAGAGAGCACAGAGGAAGGCTCAGTAGATCAAGAGTAGAGCACTCAAACTGGATCTGTGCCCATCCATCTCATGGCTGAGCAGGAAACCAGGAATACAACACCAGACACAATACATAATAGGCAGTTCTATCTGGCAGCATCCTAACTGAACCTCATAAGTGACTAATTTGGAACGCTCTACATAGGCAGCAATCCTTGAACAACACAAATAGCATGCCACGTGGGAGTGATAGTCTAATAAGCATAAAATACACAGCACACACAAATATTGGGTAAAATAACTAACTGTAGCCTAAACTAGGTGATATGTATACTGCTTCAAAATATTAGCCGGTCCCATCAGGATTTCAGGATATTTTGTGATTTTTGCTATTAAAATTTTGTGCTGGAAATTTGCGAAATGTTTTCGGGTGTGCGTCAGTCAGTGGGTATCGCATTAAATTAATAGTTCACCTAAAAATATAAATTCTGTCATTAATTACTCACCCTCATGTCGTTCCAAACACATAAGACAAAAACGCAACTACCACGTTTAAGGCCCAGAAAAAATCGATAGAAAGGACATCGCTAAAATAGTCCATGTGACATCAGTGGTTCAATGGTAATTTTATGAAGCTACAATAATATTTTTGTGTGCAAAGAAAACAAAAATAACGACTTTATTCAACATTTCTTCTCTTCCATGTCAGACTTTGACATGGTACTCTTGTGAACGCGTGTCGACTGACACGGAAGAGAAGAGAAGTTATTTTTGTTTTCTTTGCACACAAAAAGTATTCTCGTAGCTTCATAAGATTACGGTTGAACCAAAGTGTACACCAAACTGACCAGGTCATGTGATTTCAGAAAACGAGGCTTACATCATATTTCGAAACGAAAGCTGATCTCGATTCAGTTTAATCTTTTAGGTTATTAAATGTTGAGAGGACTTTTCTTTACGTTCCTTTAAGTTTAAGTTCTTTAACATCTTTAATGATATTTCATGATATATTAGATCACACTTTAATGATGCTTTTATACCTATGCATTCTAACCCTAACCCATTCTCAATGCATTTACAGTACAATGCTTTAAAACAATCACTGTTGAGACTCGGTTTAATTAATTAGACGTTTCCCATCACTACTATTATAAATGTGTTTATTTCTAAAGATTTATTTTGCCTTAACTGCCATTTTGGCTTTATTTTTTCCACTGAACTTATCTCAATGTTTCATACAGTAGGATTGCATTTTCTATAAAGGACATATACCACGCTGCCTTAGAATTTGGAAAACTATATATTTTAGGTGGCAGCATAATTAAAATACTTAGATATTAGATCAGCATTTGCATCCACGATGCCTTAAAATGCAACCCAAATAAGAAAATCACTAGGTTTTGGATCAAAGCATATGTTTACTCACTCCAAAACCAGAACAAATACTCCAAAACCAGAATTCTCTGCAATATAAATTCAAAAATATTGAGTCTGATAGTGCTCTGCGGTTTATATTCAATATTTTATGTTAACAATCAATTTGTATGAGCCTTGTGGTTACACAATCAATCTATTACATTTCATGTCTTCATCATGTCAGCCATTGGCAACAGCCTCTATCAATTTTTAAACAGCTCTGTGAGCTCAATGTAATGGGTTCAAGGCCACAGACCAGACTGCAGCACATTTAAAGAACAATCTCATCATAGAAAATAGACTGAAGAACGTTCAGGTGGAGAGTTAAATCAGAGTGCTGATAAAGGATCAGCTTTACACTTACCATGTGCTGATAGAAAAAGTATGTGCTATATCTACTGGGATGGAGTGAAGGGACTTGCACAGGAATTTTGAGATAGACAAAGGAGCACAGAAAGCAAAGAAAGTGTCAAAAAGTTGAGAAACGTTCAATGTTATGCAAATGAGATATGGAAAAAAAACGCTGGCCAACAGTTAATAGTTGTGATGTAAAGGAGTGACATCAATCAAAAATGTTTCAAAATCTGAGTTTCTGATATATTCAGGCCTTACATTACATTGTTACATATTACTAGTATTTGCACATTTTTACTCTAGCTAGGTTAGTAGTAATTAATAAAAAAAAATAAACATGAACTTATCAAATTTTCATTTTGAACTTAACTTTTAATTTCTGCTACAAATCAACAACAACAAAAAGTGACAATGAAGTGCACAATATCTTTAATGTGCGATGACAGTACGCATTTGTCTTTGTGTGCATGCGAGAGTAAGAAGACTAATGTCATAATTTCCTTGAAAAGTCTCCTGCAAAAGACAAACGTCCTACTAAAATTTTTAATCTTCATGTCAAAAAGAGACCTTTGGTTTACCTCCTTAGATAATCCTCAAACACTGCTTCCACATGTCATCAGGCATTGATATTCACCAGCTAGTGTGTACTCCTTTGTAAGATGTATATGTTTGTTAGCTCAAGGTTAGTAATAATAAGGGCCATATAGTTCTAATATTTTATTATAGTAAATAGTGGTTTCTATGTGATGTACAATGATGGTTATTAAACATTTACATTTGGTTAATCTTGAATATTTGGTTACTTCCTTTGTAATAAGGATAGTGTTTTGCAAGGTCAACTGGCACGACACAAAAGACCACAAAGACAAAAGCTGTTGAAAACACTACAAGACACATACAGGAAATCAGGCAGCATGCAAACCAAGAGGAAGCCAGAGATAATAAAGAGATCCGTACAGTCAAAAAAAGAGTGTTGAACAAGTGAGGGGATGAGTAAGAGACATGAAGGAAATGCAGTATATCTTCACTATTTATCTTTACAGACACACATCTTCCTACAGTCTGATTGTCAAGGAACACTTTGTATGGTTTGATCACTGACTCAGCTCTTATCTAGGGACAATTTCTCTGCACCTCTCCATCTCCTCTACATTCCTTTTTAACTTTCCCCATTCCTTCCCAAGTCATTTTCTTCCCTACCTCAGGGATATATATCCACTTTTTTCGTCCTTGTCTTCACATATGCTTGCAACAACCATTATAAAGACATTTTAGGCAATAACCATAATATTTTAAGAGATGGAGTTCCTGAATTGACTAGTGGATTCAGTGACTCACCCATAATGACAGTCACATGCTTTGCTCCTGAATGAATGTTTGGAATGAGCCAGTTCAATGATTGACTCATTAGGTTCGTCCCAATTTGTGTAGTTAGGCAATATTCTGTGCCTTTTTGTAGTATAGATATTAAGAGTAGTATAGTTATTAAATCTACTCAAAGACAGTTACTTGTTGCCACCTAGGGGTGTATCGATGTAACCTTAATAAAGGGTAACTGAAAAATCCCCAACATCAATGCACAGACTGACAGTTTTCTAAAACACACAAACACAGACAAGCAGAGTGATACAAGTCACACAAGTGGACTAAATATCAGCCTTCCTGGTGCAGTGCACGGCCAATCACACAGTATGTCAGAATATAGAATTATAAATCAGCCCCCTTAAGTATATCCACAGGTGTCCCCCAAGGATCTATTCTGGGTTCAATGCTTTTTACATTGTATATCAATGATCTTCCATCTGTTTGTCCCAACACTAACTCCCAAATGTATGCGGACAACACTTATTTAAATTTTTGGAAATACATGATTCTGTATCAATAGTACTCACCTCATTAGGTGACACAGTCAGAACGCTCCGGCTTTTCCTCATCTTCTATGAAGTTTTCCTTTCCCTGTCTTGCACAGGCCTGCTCCGCTGACACTCCTGCACAAAACATCAACACAAACCCACACAATCAACTCTCGCAGCAAAGACAGAAAGAACAGAAGAAAGAAAAGACATCTGACCTTGCTTGCTCGTGAGAGAGATGCCTCAGGGTAAAGGATCTATTCTGGGTTCAATGCTTTTTACATTGTATATCAATGATCTTCCATCTGTTTGTCCCAACACTAACTCCCAAATGTATGCGGACAACACTTATTTATATTTTTGGAAATACATGATTCTGTATCAATAGTACTCACCTCATTAGGTGACACAGTCAGAACGCTCCGGCTTTTCCTCATCTTCTGTGAAGTTTTCCTTTCCCTGTCTTGCACAGGCCGCTGACACTCCTGCACAAAACATCAACACACACCCACACAATCAACTCTCGCAGCAAAGACAGAAAGAACAGAAGAAAGAAAAGACATCTGACCTTGCTTGCTCGTGAGAGAGATGCCTCAGGGTAATGTATGGAGAATCTTTCGCTATTCTTCTGTGAGAGTGATAAAGAGAGCAGCACAGTTTGTCTGCAGTCTGACAGTGACAAGCATCTCTTAAACCCTCACAGCCACCTCTTTATCAGCTTTTGCGCTCAATATTTTTTCCAGCCTGTCTAAACTGACTTGCAAAAGTGATGTTAAGATATCCCTGTACAGAGACTGTTATGGAAGCATTTTTACATCCCTTGTGTATGATTCACTTCTGTAAAATTCAAACAGCAGGGATTTACACTCCAAAACCACATGGGTCAATATTATTTATTTAAAAAGCAGTACATAAGGGTGAAAGTGTGTAATTTCTGGGCCACTAATGGTGCCAAAATACCCTTTGTTAAGCCACACCTTAAAATTGTTAGTGACCAATCCTACCTTAGCAGCTGTTGCCATGCACCATTTTGCACTTGTCTAATGCAAGTCTTTGAATGATGTGAATGCTTGAAAATGTTTATCAGTTCTACAGAAATGAACCAGAAATATTGTAAATCATCGCTGCTGGGTCATTTATTACCGCCAAAATGAAAATAATAAGAAAAATAGTTTTTTTACACTAATGTTATTGTAATGTAATTGTAGTGAAAAGATGTTACCCTGATTTTGATTGTCTTAAGTTAGATGCATGTTATGTTGTTTCTTTCAAACAAAAAATGATTGATATATATACTTTGCAATATCATAATTTATTCCATCCCACATCTTAATAATTTTCAATCAATTTTTACTGCTTGAATTATGCTATTTACATAAGTCTATAGTTGAGATTTTCTGGGTGGGTCATTCTGTAAACAGTGCAAGAGAAGGGTCATTTAGAGGATCCTGCTCTTCTATGATCGTGTACTGAATGAGAATTATTATACAGATGGGCTGGTTTTTATAGCTGAGCAAATATGTGACTCTGAATGAACGAAATATTGCAAACCAGTTTGAATGTGATTTTCAAAAAGCAACATTAACCAGCAGGAAAATAATACATTGACAATGTGCTGTTGCTGTAAATTGGAGCTGCTCAACTGTAAAGACACCAAACGCTTTTGAAAATTAAATTTAAGGAACATTCTATGGAAGAAAAAAAACAAACAAGAACACGGTCTGAATGAAGCATATCTACAGGTCAGAATGCATCAGGTGTAGAAAATAAATACATGTTTTGTCTGCACAATCTCTACAGTAGTTTACAGTCGGCTCAACTCAGGCCTGTCATCATCTTGTCAATCTTTTTTTATTCTATTGGCATATTCTATTTAGTGTCATAAGAAGTGTTTTATTTCCCACCAAGTAAACATTAATGAACTTAGCTGAACATCTTGTTTTTTATTTAGTCGTCTTGAAGAGTCTGTCTGCAGCCACTGCCAAGGTTCTCTCTTCAGTATCTCTTTAAGGTTGTGTTCTCTTGTCAATCTGTCAGCCACTTCTGTGCCTAGCTCAATCCAAAGTCACTGAATGCAACGGACAGTCCAGGCCGTGGGGAATTGGGAATTTGGCAGCTGTCTCTCAACAGCTGAAAGCCTGAAAAACATGACTCCATAACCACTTTCTATTGATTTGACCTCTGCTTTCTTACCCTGTCTGTTCAGTGTGCTCTCAGCATCCTGGCCATACTGACATTAACCAGAGAAGGAGTTAGATGGCCTGTCTTTAAATATTGCCACTGTCACTGAATTCATGCAGCGTGTAAAGGTGTCTAGCGGCATGTGTGTCTTTTATATGAGTCACTCATCCTTAGACACTTACAAGGGGGAATTTCAATTTTTTTGACCAGTGAGCCACAAAAAGCATTATTTGACAATTAAATTATTTTAGGTGGCTTTCGATGTGGAAATGTTCATTTTCAACAACCAATCACTTGATATCAACATTTCATTGTGTTTCTGAAATCTGTGAATGTCTTGCCATTTGATTTGTTCAATATCAGTGCAAAAAAAATACTTCACACAATTACGGAAACACATTTTTGAGTACAAAATAAAACCGGTAACTGAGAGATATAAAATAATATAAAAATATATATATATATTTTATATATAATATATATAAAATTGCAGTTGTGACAAATGAAGTCACATTTTTATGACAAATAAAAGCCAAAGTTCTGTCATGAAACTCTAGATGGTGAAGTCTGATTGGTTCTAACTCAGTCTGACATAATGACATCATTATTCACATGCCACAGCTGATTGGTTTCTTTTCATATCAGCAGCCAATGAGCTTGCTGCTTAACATTCAAATATTTGGCTAGTGCTTGCTTTAGCACTTGCAGCACTCTTCATAAACCATCCACCTTCCCCAGCTCCACCTGTAGATCAGCTACAAGGTAATTTTATGTATGTTATATATTGGGGTTATTTCATAAATGCGCAGAAGCAATATTTCTTATATGCTCACAGCAGCATGTTGTGGATGTATTGGCTGTAGCAAGTCTCGGTACTTGCTCTGCCGCAGCAGCCGCAGCATAGCAGATCTATTCTACCAAGACATCAATATTGTCATGTACATTACCACCCCAAACTCTCAGAGAGTGACAGAAATTACATTGTGAGATATAAAATCACAACGTGAGTTTTAAAATTGCAGTTATAAGAAATGAAGTCGCAATTATGAGATATAAAATCACATTTAAGGGAAATATTGTAAAATTACATTGTGAGATATAATGTTGCATGATAAAATGATGTATACGGGATATTATTACTTGCTTAGATTTGTCTGGCTGAATGAGAGCCAAGAAGTTAAAGCTTAAAGGTAAAGCTGTACAAAAAAATCATCACCCTTTGAGCTTAGAGGTTCAAAGTGGTCTGCACTTTCAACTAGACTATTATCAGAAACTCTTGAAATTAAAGGCCCAGGACTCTGATAAACCTCGCATATCCATTTAAAGAATGGATGCACATGCACTGCAGCATCAGGAAAAACATCAGCTTAACAGATAATCCACAGTCTGATGGCCCAATTACCTATTTACCTATTCACCTCTCCCCATTCAAAGAGTAAATGAATGATAAATGTGTTCTAATGTAATACTGTAGCTGCTGCAATCTGCACAATCACCAGCCCACAAAAGAAATTGCCAGCTAAATTACCATTCCCATTAAATCAATACTCGCCCCCTACTAATTACAAAGTCTTGTACAGATGCAGAGCAAATATGTCAGCATATGTAGATCTCAAATCCTGTTTTTCTTTATGTTCTCACATAGACCTTAAGCTCAATTTCACACTAGTTTGTTATCTGGTTTATTATACAAATATTTGCATTTTGCATGGATTCTGATTGTATTGTCTTTGTATTTATATTCAGTTAAGCAAATAAACTAGTTAATATTATCAATAATATTATGTGGCTGTATATATTTCTTCATCTTCTTCGTATTTTGTAAAGCTGCTTTAGAATAACAAGTATTGTAAAAAGCACTTAATTGAATGGATTTTGAAATAAGACTTGGTTTTTCTTCAACATATAGGTCAAGTTTGTTGTTTCGCTCTTCGCTTGCTTTGCTCACTTTCCAACAACAATTGAGCTTTAAAACAGCCTTACATGCACTGACGAGTCTATTCTCATTAGACAGTCACATGAAAGGGTTATAATATTTGATGCGTCCTTTGAGCAACAGCGCAATCTGGTCCCACTGCTGTCGTTTTGCCGTTCTTCTGTGAAAGGCTCTGACATCCTGAAAATAATTACTGACTAAAGCTCTTCTTTTGCCAGATGTATTGACATACGACAGGCAGCATGTATAATGGCCCTTTCAAGCCGAGACAGAATGTTTCAGTGGTTAAACACAATTAGTTACAGTCTCCAAGCTAGGATCTGGGCCAGTTGGTCTAGATGGGTTTAACACAGAATTTAGCGTAGAAAACAAAATCTTTGGACAATGAGAATTTTTTGAAATTAAATTAGAAAGGTATTTTGCCCGTTCCAAAGAGATGGCTTCCTGAAATTTAGACAAGCTGCTCTGCAAAAGTTGATATGAAATTTGTAACTTATCCTTTTTCCATCTTCTTTCTGCCCTTCTGCAATCCTTCCTTAAAGCTTTAATGTTGTTATTAAACCATGGCTGATTTTTTGGTTTAGTCTTTTTGGATTTGAGAGGAGCAACTACATTTAAGATTGCTGAACAAGAGGAATTAAAACTATTTGTCAACTCATCAACACTTATATCCTGTGCTGCCAGGACACTGCTGTGAGCTAGCAGGGCTATAAAAGCTTTGGTGAACTGCAGGGCCGTGAAGGATCGAGAAAGATAAGTAGAAGACTGGTTTACAGGGCTAGAACAAGTAATCACACTGTCAAACAAAACCGGGCAGTGGTCAGACAGTCCGGCCTCATTAACAGTTACATTACTGACAGAGAAACCTGATGATAAAACAAGATCAAGAGTATGACCCAGCTTGTGTGTGGGACCTGAGACGTATTGCGTGAGATTAAAAGAGTCCAAAAGTTGAACAAAATCTCTTGAAAGAGGTCTCGAAGGACAACACAGATGTATATTAAAATCACCAACAATC